GGGAAAGAGACTCTGTCCTCAGTTCCTGTCCACTGGGTACACTTTGTGCCATTCCTTTGAAGAAAGGGTGGATGGTTAGCCTTCCCTGTGTAAAATGGCACCTAACAGTGCAACATCAGATGCCACTGAAGTGTAAGTATATGAAGAAATATAGAACACACACTGTATGTTATTTTCCATCCTAAATTTAAGAACACTTAGACCTAACTAGATGATTTGTTGCTGTTCCTAAAAACCTCGGTCTCATGGTTGCTTTCTCAACGGTAGGGTCAGGCCTCAGATCCATCGCCCATAAAAAGTGGGCTGTACCAGATCGTGATTGTATCATCCAGACTCATGGTCCTGGTCTGTTCCATGGAGTCATCACAAGCATGGGTCTTTCCATCTGGCTCCTGTTATATATATAATGGAGGAATCTATATACCATGTGGGTTAACCAAAACTGCTTATAATAAAAATATCTTATGTAAAATTATCTGCAAGATATCAAGCTACCATAATGACATTAGTCACTGTTATCTTCACACTTTCTACCAGACATGTATGTACTAAGTAATTTACATACAGTATGTCATTTAACCTTCCTGCTAACCTTGTGAAGTTCAGAGAGGCTGAGTGACTTACTCTAGCTTCCCACAGCCAAGCCAGGGAGAGGGCTAGGATTTCATTCCAGTTTTATTTGACTCTGGAGCTCCTGCACCTTCCTCCCTGTACATCACGAGGGAGAAAAGGAGAGGGAAACCCTTTGTCTTACTTGGAATTTCCCGATTCTGGGTGTCCTTCTGCAGGTCACCAGGCCTGTGTCTATACACGATGTAATTCCACCAGTGAAACTTGACAGACAGGATGCTGCACAGCATCTTTGAGTAGATGATGAGATTGATGTAACTGCCTGCCACCCTCCCCCACACCTTGTGAAGGAAGAGAATCTAATATGCAGTTGCCCTAGGCTCCTGGTGTTGGAAGGACCCACACTCTAATTGTCTCCCACCCCCGAGCCCTCACCCGCCACACACAGACCCCTCATGCGGTTCCCTCGTGTGCGCTCCCAGAGCGCTCTTCTGCTGCGGTCGAGGGCCTCAGAAGAGTAGAGGGCAGGCCTGGGGCAGTGTCTTGTGGGATAAACAGGTGCTGTGAATTCCGAGTTGAGCCAGATGCTATCCTGTACTCAGATGCTTCCCCACCAGCTTTTTGCACCACCTAAAAATTTCCCATTGGAATCAAAGTTTCATCTCCAGAAGATTTCAGTTGAAATGGAACATTGTAAGGGAAGGATAACATGTGAAACCACTCATATCCACTGTGCTTGTGCATAGATTAGCCTTCGTGGAAAGCAGGAATCATAGCCCTGAATGAATGGAACAGAGAAATAGAAAGTGTTTCTTGGAGAGGGCAGTGGACTACCTGAGTAACCAGAGGGCAGTGCCAGGATAAGGGGCACACTTAGGGAGAAAGTAGGAGGGATAAAAAGCCAAGTGAAAATACCCTTACACCTCCAAATTACTAAGCAGAGATCTGTGTTACTTCCCAACTCGTGGCTCTTTGAATGTCTGCAGTGCAGCCTGGTGTCCATCTGGTTCCAATCTAGCCAGACCAATCCCTGAGAAACCTGGGCTCTCCCCCACCTCAGTGTTTGCATGCACATCATTCATTCAGCCCTTACTGAGCTCCACCCCGTATCCACACTGCGGGTACGGGGACAATTTGTACCTAAACCTACTCTGAAGAGAATCAAGTCTGTGGAAAAGCTTGTGAAGGTCTTTTGTCATTTTTTTAAATTAGGAAACCTTTACATAAATATAAGAATTTGAAAATGCTAATAATTTATTTTGCAGTTCAAAAAGTAGAGACTAATTTTTGGATTCTGAAATATTCCCTTTATCCTGCTGTGGCATTTATTTTTGCAAAGTCCCCTTCTTTTTTTTCCCAAGTCATTAACTATTTTAACGTTATTAACTGTTCAAGTCAGATGGGAGAATTTATATCTTAATTAGAAAATATCAAATATTTTTAAAAGGTGCCAGATAATTTTAATACATTTAACAGTTACAGTAGAGTTAAAATTGTGGCGGCATTTAATAATTTTATGTCAGATTTTAAGGAAATACTATTATTACCAAACTCATATCCATTTGTATAGGGAAAGCAATTGATACTTTAAAATAATCATCCATTGGGCTTCCCTGGTGGCACAGTGGTTGAGAATCTGCCTGCCAATACAGGGGACACAGGTTCGAGCCCTGGTTTGGGAAGATCCCACATGCCGCTGAGCAACTAGGCCCGTGAGCCACGACTACTGAGCGTGCGCTTCTGGAGCCTGTGCTCCGCAACAAGAGATGCCGCGATAGTGAGAGGCCCGCGCACCGCGATGAAGAGTGGCCCCCGCCTGCCGCAACTAGAGAAAGCCCTCGCACAGAAACGAAGACCCAACACAGCCAAAAATAAAATAAATAAATTTTTTAAAAAACAAACAAACAAAAAAACCAAAAAAACTATTCCCTTAAAAAAAAAATTTTAAATAATCATCTACCATGGTATAAATGAAGTAACATTTTTTATTTCCTGTTTAAAATTTTTTTTTTTTTTTTTTTTTGCTTTCCATGGGCATTTTAATAAAATTTGTAAATGTATGTCTGGGATGAGACTCGTCAAACATATTTTCTGTAAAAGCCATGTCTGTCTTTATTGAAGTGCACTGTGACATTTCTTTTGTCTGTTTTTATACTCACCCCGCTGGCACATTAATTCTTACCAGAAGCCAGAGTGACTTCAGGGCTTTCACTTTCATTATGTTGTCTGCCCAGGGCAGTGTTTTATAATCAGATGTGTGTGTGTGTGTGTGTGTGTGTGTGTGTGTGTGTGTGTGTGTCGGGGGGAGGGGCAACTCAGTGAAGTATCATTGATCACATTCTACGGCTTCCAAGGCTGTTTGCTAAATCAGTTGTAACTCACAGAAAGTGAACGGACCAGGGAAAATATTAAGTGCGCTCAGACAAGAGTTCTTTTCTAATGTGGGCTTCTAATGCCTTTCGATAGCCAGACAATTCAGTGTCAAATATTTCAGAATTGACTGAGAATTTGTTTACTTTTGTCTGTCACCTTAGAATCCTTTTGCAGAAAATGAAGAATCACAGCAAAGGTCGATTAGAATTTTGGGAATGAACACTTGGGATATTGCTCTGGAATTAATGAATTTTGATTGGAGCCTCTTCAATTCAATTCACGAGGTAAGTAAGAAGGGAAATGATAAAATAAATGCTTGTGCCAGTATAACTGTGAGTTCTTTTGGAAGAATCAGTGTTTGTGACTGGGTTTTAAGAAGATCCATCATCTGGTGATCTAGTTATGCTTTAGGATACCATGGCCCCCAAATATTTGGGGACTTTAAATATATTAAAAGACTGACCCAAACCTAGGAAAATCAGAATACATGATCATGCTTTATTTGCACCTAATATTGTACAATCGGATATTTGTGTTAATGTAGTATAAATATGCTCTTTTTTTGTTTTATATATATATATATGAAGGTCTAATGGGGTGGAAGAGACATTTTATATTTGATACCTTTGATATTGACATTTTTATTTTTCCATGAGCTTTACAGAGCTTTGCAGTACTTATATGAGAAACACATTTATGTATGTACCTACGTGCACACACCCTCACACATTCCCAAGAACATTCTATACATTTAGACTATGCTGCAAGACTTCAAGTACTCTATTGAAAATTTTGAGATATATTTCAAATTTGTATGTCCATCAACCTCTCCCTTGAGGACAGCTTAAACATTTATAAAACAGTAGATGCGGGGCAACATGCTACTGACATTTGATGAATAAATGTAGCTGGTGGAAAGGCTCACAGGAATCAGGAGATGAAAAACGAGGCAGCTCTGTGCTACAATATGTTGCATTTACTTTGCTGTGTAGTGAAATGTTTCATTACAAGAAGGCCTTTCCTCCTGAAGAAGGAACTCGTGCCCAATTTAGGGACCCGCAAGCTTCACTTTCACTTTGGAACATTTTTTAAATGTCCTCATATTTTCTCACCGACAGCATTCCAACCTGATGATCTAAATTTGAGCAAGTGGTGAACTCGTTCAAGCTAAATGACTTGTGACTTTGCAAATGGTAGTAGAGTGGGATGTGTCCCTGCTTATGTGCTTATGCAATAGGAGAATGTGAATTACTCCTGTAAAATATACATGCACACCCCTCCGGTTAGAAACACATCTCTTCCATTGCTTTGCATATGGTCAGTCCGTGTCACTAGTTACTGGTCTGACTCGATTTTGTCAGTTTTGTACCTTGTCCTAATCTTGCTGTCTTTCTGTGATTTGACAATGTCTTATGTCAGTGGTTCTCAAAGAGCGGGTACCCAGACCAGCATCATCAGCACCCCTGGGAGCTTGTTAGAAATGCAGATTTTGGCCAGAGCACAGACCTACTGACCCAGAAAATTTGGAGGGTGGGGCCCAGCAATCTGTGCTTTAACAGGCCTCCAGGTGATTTGGATTCACACTGAAATGTAAGAACCCTTGTCTAGAGAACCTACCTGTGAGGGTCTAATGTAATGATAGTCGTTTGCACTTGAAGTTCCTCATAGAACAAGTTTGGGAAGTTTGGATTTGATTCAGCCTGTGACTTAAACTTGAGAATGTCTTAGGTTTTCGCGAAAAGTGTCATCCTTGCATTCTAAAAAATTACATTTATGTAAGGCCTCTGCGTGAAGGCATTTCTGGAAGTCAAGATAAATTATCTTGAATTTAATATATTGTTATTTGTTATATCTAACATGTTATGATATGACAGTGCCTACCTGAAGTCGCTCTTAGAAATGAATTGAATTTTGTATCAACTTGACTCTGTGCTACAACAATAAACAATTGTGTGAATACGTTGTCTTTCAGCAAGAGCTGATCTACTTCACGTTCAGCAGACAAGGAAGTGGGGACCACACAGTGAACCTGAGCCTCCTACTCCAGAGATGCAATGAGGTCCAGCTCTGGGTAGCCACGGAGATTCTGCTCTGCAGCCAACTGGGCAAGAGAGTGCAGCTGGTGAAAAAATTCATCAAAATTGCTGCTCAGTGAGTTTCTAGTGGTAAAAGATGCAGTTCTTCCCCTCTCTTTGAGAGGGTACATTATTTTCCTTGTGATGATAAGAAGGGATGAGATGCAAAACGGTACTATTGAGTTAAGTGACCAAATGATTGAAAAGGTCTCTTTTTGAATATTTCTGTCTTCGCCTTTGAAGTATTTATACGTTAAAGTAAAGGTCAAAATACTAGACCAAAGCACTCTGCTCTATGCTGTAGAAAAAAGCAGGCAGTGCACACATGCCCCATCGTGCAGCCAAATTACCCTTGTAGCCAGGTGAGCTACAGTAGGTTAGGAAAATGGGGGAAGGTGATGTGAGGGGGGTGAGAACCATTGAAAGTCAGATGCATTTCAAGATTCTGCTTTTGGCTCCTTGATGCCCAGAGTATGAACTTTGCAAACTCCTTAGCAGGCCCTGCACTGTCCGGTCACACCTGACCTCTGAGCCTCACCCCATGCTGCAGCCACTCTAAATGGCTCTCCCTTTCCCATGCACACCATCATTCATGCCTGGACATGTGTTGTTAGCTCTGCCAAGAATGGCCACTTCTACCCAGCAAATTGCTATCCTTCAAGACCTAGGTCATATGTTGCTTCCTTCCTAAAATCATCCCTGACTTTCAAATGCAGGGTCAACTGCTTCTTACCCTGACCTCCCCCTACCATGCACACATTTTTGTTTTCTTTTTTTAAAAAAATTCTTTATTATATTGATTAAACTTACCTTTTTTTTTTTTTTTTTTTTTTTTTTTTTGCGATACGCGGGCCTCTCATTGCTGTGGTCTTTCCCGTTGCGGAGCACAGGCTCCGGACGCCCAGGCTCAGTGGCCATGGCTCACAGGCCTAGCTGCTCTGCGGCATGTGGGATCTTCCCGGACCGGGGCACGAACCCATGTCCCCTGCATCGGCAGGCAGACTCTCAGCCACTGCGCCCCCAGGGAAGCCCTAAACTTACCTTTTTATATAGAATTCCTTCAGTGGACTGTGTTAGCTTCCAAAGGACAGGGACCATTTCTAATCAATCACTGTTTCTGGGGTGCCTGGTACTGAACTTGGTAAATAGCAGTGACTCAGTAAAGTCAGTTGAATGACATTCTAGTAACTTCCTGGGAGCATCTCTTAAAATACCAGATGAATAT